CTGGCAGGATTGCTGGTGAACCGAATATGCTTTTGAACATCGATACAATGCTGAAGCTTTGCTCGCGGAATATCTCGACATAGCGCTTTAGGAATCGTTCTGTTTGCTGACCGCCAGACCAGCTCTGTGCGTTACGCGAGCTAGACTGCCTAGCCTTTTCCTCGTTAGCTAACTCCTGAAGTGGAAGCAGCGCGTCGAGAGTGGTTGCTAGGGTTGCGAGGCGGCAACGAAGAAACAGAAATGACAAGCTTCGCTCCTGGATGTTGCGTCCGGTGCTGGAATCGCCATCAAAATCAGGAAGAACTCTCCTAAGCCAGCTCACAGTCCGCAAAGCCGTGGCTAGTTTAAGGCCGGGGGCCTTTAGTGTAGCAATCAGATCCGCTGTGAGGCGGTCTATCGCTTCGCTCGCCTGGCAGTAGACGGATGCAATCAAAGGAGACTCAGGATGCAGCAGATTCAGTCGTCTGATATGGCCGTTCAAGTCAAGAGCAGTGGCATAGTTCGGTGGTACCGCTGTGATGGCCGAGGAAAGCAATGCGGGGAGCTCTAGGACGTCAACAAGTCGTTCAACATTATTGAGCAGTAAAAGGGCGCGGCGTCTTCGAAGCAAATTGTTGTTATCGCTGGCTTTGCTATACGTTGAGGAGAAATGAAGGGCTTCAGAGTCGACTTTCGGGATGGCGTTTTGCAGCTGTGTTGTGCCCTTCATAAGCCTTGGGAGCGCTCTTTCCAGAGTGGCATGGCAGCTCGCCGAGTCAACCACTGTCTTGTGGGATCTTTTCGATATGTCTTGAAGGGAGAGTAGCAGCGAGTGGGATGAGTGGGCTAAACTCTGCGGCTCTGCAGACAACAGTGATGCTTGGGACTGTTCAGCCAAGTGCTCAAGGTATTGGAGTTTGGTTGCGAGGGCTGTGAGATTGTTGGCGCGACTGGAGTGAGCCTGAGGATCAGTACGCTCAGCGTCCAAGAGGTCCAGAAGAAGATCAGCCATGCTAAGTGAACGCGATCACCAAACCCAAACTCGACCAATCTGTTCAGATGGGTTGTTGAGGGAGTTGCATGAGGATCAGCAGAGGCCAGGTCGAGCGAGGGTCTCTTGATAGACCCCTCTGATCAGCCAATCAGGCGGAGCAACCTCGTGTTCCTGGACACGCCGCAGACCCCACATGGGTGGATCATCTGGACGAGCATGATGCGGTGTGAGGCGCTGTGGCCCGAGGTGGGGCGACGAGGGTCCAGGCACCAGGAAGCTCAACAATACTTGATTGTGAGGGGGTAGGCAAGGTGCTTCTTGATCACGCTGTGTTTGGCGACAAACCTGGCAGGAGGCGTGGGACCTCAGCTGACTTCGACATCGCCAATGCTGCAAAAGCCTTCAATCGCAGCATCCATTTATAAACCGATAGCCACTTACGATCATGGGCTCTTGATCGCGAAACCAGAAATATCCACCGCTCGCTGGCCATCTCCCAGTCTTTCTGGCACAACACTTGAACAGCATCTACAGGCAACGCCCACCACAGCTCGCAAGGAAGCATAACGGCTCGACCATACCGCGACTTGCCAAGATGAAGGATCCTTTCCCTCTGGAACCGTTGCCATGGCTTTCGAAAGCAGTACAGCCCTGGGCCGATTACTTGTCGCTGCCCTCACTGCCTCTCCATATCCACGAAGTCCTTATTGCATGTCTTCTATACTCTGTCATCTACTGGCCGATTTCGCCTTTGCTCTCCAATCTGCTGGTTGGGGAGCGCTACAGAAGCTTGCCTAGGAAGCGCCGCGTGAATTGGGATGCACACGTCGTGTCCTTTTTCCAGAGTACGTTGATCAACGGGCTTGCGCTTTGGATCATGTTCGTCGACGAGGAACGTCGTGAAATGGATTGGCAAGCTCGTATTTGGGGTTACACTGGTGCCGTTGGCATGATCCAGGCTTTGGCTGCCGGCTACTTTCTGTGGGATTTGGTGTCACCAGTTGAACATGGACGTTTTCGGTCCTGGCACTC